GTAGTAAATGGTCCTCTCGTACGTGCAGCGCCAGAACAGAATGTTATTAAAAATTATAATACTTCATCTAATAGTGGAAGCTTTGGTCATCATTTCGCACCACCTGCATCAACATGATAACTCCATAAAATAGAGTTATTTAAAATTGTTTCTAGTGCTTAGTAAATGGTTTTTGCTTAGTTTTTAGCTAAATTATGATCTTTTTACTCCTAACGGGCTTAATTTTTTGTTTTGTAGAAATCTTGAAGAAAAGAATGAATTTTAAAGAATCTTGATTGTTTTTAATCAATTTTGGATGATTCTTGATCATAATATAGATTCTTGAAATGTTCTCATCATGTTCTCGATGAATCTTGATTTTCTTGAAATTTTGGAGTTGAAGAATGGAAAAAATCTTCAAGATTGGGTTTGTGGAATTTAATGAAGTTGAATTTCTGCAATCTTGAAGAAACAAAGAAAATTCATTCAAGATTCAAGTTAGGTAATTTTTTTTTCTAATGGAGAGAAGAGTTGTAATTTCGAGTGAATACAAGTTCATTGTAACTTATATAGATGCACATGTATGAGATTATTAATGGATGATATGATAGTAAGTCTTTTTTTATTGATTAAGAAAGATGACTTAAAAGGTGATGTGACATGATCAGGTGATAATTATATTTGGTTTTTTTACTTAGATTCGGATTTCCTATTCTTAGTAGGATTTGTTATACCTAATTCTACTGAGTAAGATTTGCATGAAGCTGTGAAAAGAGCATAGAATGGATGGCATTAAGGAAGAGTTCTACATGAAATGAAGCTATAGTTTTCTCCAAAAATTCAAATCAAGCCATGGACTACAAGAACCATTTAATATTGAAGGAAGTTTCTAAAAGTTTACACAACATAGCCGAATGCACTTTCTTTGGTATGCAAGATTTGGTTTTAAGCTTTATTTTATGCATGATTTGAGTTGATATATGATAGATATAATCTACAAGACAAGAATGGTCTATAAGTTTTCTTTTTAAAAAGTTCTTGTTGAAGCTAATCATAAGAAGCATTCTTGAATTCAAGAGTTCTTGTTCAATCGAAAGTGTGCAAGCTACTTCAAGGTTCATCTCGACCAAACACTCTAGAGTTTTCTTAACTTATAAATACATCTTTTAGGTCTTGACAAATGAGATACAAGGGATTGGGTTGACAAACCAACCTTATTAGCTATCTTAGATTTTTTTTTTTTTTTTTACTTTTCTTGCCTTCAAAACAAATTCAGTTTTAAGTTTCTTGGTTCTTTAAGTTTCTGTTTTGTTTAAGTTCAGTTTATGCACATTCTTTTCAAGTTTTAATTCAATTAAATTCTATTTTTAAAACCTTTTTTCAATTCGGTTTTGCATATATTTGATTGATATTAGGTTTCGGTTTTGGATCTTGATTTATAATTTGCATTTTTTGCTTTAATTTTTGTTTAATTGGTGCGGTTTGGCTACTGTTTTGATTTTAATCATTCAATTGCAAGTTTCAGTTATATATAAGCTGTTGGTTAATGATTTTAGGCTTAGATTTAGTTTATGTTTATCCTTGCTTGCATGTTTTGCATGTTTAGGGTTTTAATCTAGTTGATTTGCATAAGTTTTTGCATGTTACATTCAGTTTTCCTGTTCTGCTATTTAAATCAGTTTCTGTTTTGGTTTTTAGGTCGATTTTAAGTTTGATTATTGCATCTTTAATATTGGTTCATATTCGGTTTAAGGTTACTTGATTAAAGTTTATATGCTTTGTATGAAATTAGGGTTTATTAGTTTCGGTTTTAACATATTGGTTTAATTTCGATTCTGTTTTGATTTATTTTGATTTGATTGCATATTCTTAGATTAACTTAAGTTCGATAATAGTTTAATTGCATGTTTTAATAACTGATTAGGGTTAGATAAGTTTAAGTTAAATTTGTTTCAATCCTGTTTAATTTAATTGGTATCAATTAGTTTAGTTTTAGTTTGGTAAGTTTAATTCTTACAATTCTGCATGTTTTTGAGTTTGTTTAGTTTATATTATATTATATTTTTGTTTAATTGCTTTATATTGTTTTCCATTCTTATTAGTTTGATCAGTTTTGCATGTTTAATTGGTTTAGTTTTTGCATAGCTCTATAAGTTATAATCACTTGCTGTTGGCATTAGCTTTAGTTTGATTTCATATTAGTTTATGGTTATTGCATGTTTTAGAATTAATCTGCTTAGTTTATATTTTGTTTTACATATTTATTTGAATTCTCCAACTACGTGTGAGTGAAATAATTTTGATACTTATGATTTCATATACACAATCTTTGAGGAAACGATATTTTTCTTATCATTATATTATTTGTAAGATTCTGTGCACTTGCAAATCGCCTAATACAACACTAATTGTTTCACCATCCATTCCGCCAGATACAAAATTAAGAAGCTCTATATCATCTTTGAACACATCATCAGTGGGCAAAAATACCACAGTTATGCTTAAAACGGATGAAGATCTCGATTTGCTCGATAACATTCCTTTTCCATCTGGAAATGTTTATTCTGAAAGTACAGTTCCTGCAGTAACGGAGAAAGGATCCAAGAAGCCTAAAAGAAGTCCAAGACGCCACCACAGATTGTTGTCTCAATATTTGAGATGAATGATCTGCTGCTGCAGAGTCATGCTTCACTCAGTAGTATGTATAGACTTATATCTGAATTGATCAGCTCGGCAATGAAGTCAATGCCAAATTCTTTTTAACTTACTTAATTTCCTGATATGTATTGCCTATAGGCGCCACCAAGGTCGTCAAAAGTACAACAGGAAGTAATTTTTGCAAAATCACAGATTCTGCATGCACCTTTTATGACAAATGATTCTGGACTTTACCCATGTCTGTATCGTAATGTTTCCATGTTTAAAAGGTATGCCTTGCTCCAAGTTTTGATAGGAGAATTCCCTTCTTTTTTTTTTTCTTTCACTCAGTTTTGTTTTGTCAAATACATAAGAGAAGTTTATCCATCTCTGTTTTTTACTTTGTTGAAGACTAGGATGAATAATTGCCAAGCTTTGTCAATCCTATATGTTAAATACATTTGTTTCATTATTAAAAGAATGTTATAATTTGCAGAAGTTATGAACTTATGGACAGTATGCTCAAGGTTTACATTTATCAAGAGGGAGAAAAAGCCAATTTTCCATCAAGGAATACTGGAAGGAATATATACATCTGAGGGATGGTTCATAAACCTCTTGGAAGCTAATAAAAAATTTGTCAATAAAGACCCCAGAAAGCTCACGTATTTTACTTACCATTTTTTTCGTGGTTGTTAGAATTAACACTTTATGTACGCAATTCACACAGTCGAAGCAACTTTATTAAGTACATGAGAAACTATGCCGACAAGATTGCAGCAAAACATCCTTTCCGGAAGAGAGCCATTGGAGCCTATCATTTTCTTGTTGGATGTCATGACGGGGTATGCTTTTCCCATTCTTGTTTAAATTACCGTTCAGTTATACTTATAGGAAGCATCTTGACACCTCATTTATCGATATTACCCCGGCTTGTATAGTGTGCAATATTTAATGTTTTTCTTATATGCATAAATGGCTATTTGAAGGGATAGGAAGTTTGCTTCAAACATGATGGTTTGTTCACCTCATAAAATATTATTGATGATCTCCTACATGTATTTTCTTTTTTTAGGGATAACATCTCTTTTCTAAGAGTTGGCTATGTTTTCTAGTCATTATTATTTAATAAAGTATGAGAAGCTTTTTTATGCTCAAACCTAAAGTTTTCTAAAAGTTGAAAGACCATCAAACATAAAAAATGTATAGTTTAACATGCAATTGAAAACTACATGGACAAATTATTTCACATTGCATTTTTAACTTTTATCCCCCCTTTTAAAATGGAAACTACCTAAGAAATTCTATGTTCTCAGTCTCCAGCTGAAACAAGGGAAAGTTTGCACAACAGCATCAGAGCACTTTGCATTGCTGATATCGAAGTTGGCTTCACCTTAGTTAAGGATGTTTCTCTTCCAGAAACATACGTAGGCAACCCTCCTTGCCACAGGCATATCCTTCGTTTGTTTGCAGGAAACATGCATGGTTATGTGAGACCAATTCTGTTGAACTACTGGGGAAAAGACTCTGACATGAAAATCTTTGGCCTCATGCTTCGTGATGGGCACCACCAACTATATTGAGCATATGAAAAGCAGTAAGTTATGCATATGTGCAAGAGGTCACGAAGTGAATAGCCCACGAGTTGTAGAAGCTATATTCTATGAGTGCATCCCGGTTATAATATCTGACAACTTTGTGCCACCCCGTTTTGAGGTTCTAAACTGGGAATCATTTGCTGTTTTTATCTTGCAAAAGGATATTATACTCCTTTCCATTTCAGAAGACAGGTATATGAAGATGCATAAAAGGGTGAAAATGGTGCAACAAGATTTTCTCTGGCGTGCCGAGCCTGTAAAATATTATTTGTTTCATATGATTCTTCACTCCATTTGGTATGAAAGTGTTTTCCAAGTAAGAACCGCATAAAATTGTTGTTTCCTGTTCTGACTTGTTAAAACTTGCCTGCTTGTGTAATTACTTTCATGTATAATATAGAGTTACCATTTGAGTAAAAACAGAGCAAATCTACTTGTTGATTTGCTTTTTAACAGATCTGTTAATCTGGGATTTTTTATTTTGGTTTCTTCCTCAGACAAACTTTGTTTCTCTCTTTTTTTTTTTTTTTTTGATAAATTCATGAAAAACATCATAAATGGATACTTCGAAACGGCAGAAGATTTTCTGGTTTTATAATACCGGGTTTTTGTCATTGATATTTTCGATAAGGTCTAAGATTTTTTCTAGCTAAACGCAAAACTTTCCACCACGTGTCCCAACCGAACACTATCCAACGACGTGTCCCAACCGTCCGTTACATGGAAGTTAGTGCAGAGGATAACTATGTAAATCTATAGAAACGGTAAGAAAAGAGAAGTCCTCCGTTACGTAAACCTTCATGAGCATGTGAGAATTGACAACCTTAAAAAGCCGTTAAACGGCAACAACCAGCTGAAGTTTCAACTTTCAACTTTTCTTTCTTCATATCTACCAAATTTGTTTGCTTTTCTTTTTTTAACATTTAATAATTTAATAGGCCAAAAAATAGTAAACAGATTCTTCAATGGAGACAAGAATAAGAGGGTAAAACAATTGATTAGATCAGGTTAGCAAATTGGCAAAGAATTGAAATCTGAAACGTAAAAATTTTCTAGAAATTACCACAGAGACAAAGGCCAATTTAGTTAAGGTCAAGACCGGTGGTCAAGATGGTTCTTCACAGGGTAAGTTTGATGCTGCTATGAACAGGAAGAAGATTGAAAGCTCCAGCAAACAGCTTGTTGATGCAAAGCAAAAATCTGTGTCAACTGTCACGACAAAAACAGAGGTGCCCATCTCAAATTTCCTGGTTAAATTATATTGATATAATTTGTTGGTTTTTATTGATTGTTTCCCGATTTGATGATTTGGGTTTCACTTTTTGCTAGTGAATTGTGAATTTCTAAGATTGGTTTGCTTATCTATAGTAAATTTAATGTAGGTTTGATTGACCCGGCTTTGGCATGTGCTATAAAATGGGTTTTTTGGGTCAATGAATTTTATTAATCTGTGATGAATTGGGTGATTTGGCAGTCTATCTCTATGTATTTTGGTTGTGGACATCTAAAGGTTGTCTCTTTTCTTTCAAGATGTATGAATTTCTTCTTTTTTTATTTTTTTCCTTTCTTTTATCAAATTTTTAAGGTAAAATCGAAGACAAGTTCAAGTTCATCAAAAACGGCTACAACCACCAAAACTAAAGTTAGAGAGAAGAAGGTCTATACTTTGCCTGGCCAGAAACATGATCCTCCTGAAGAGGTTGTCCTCATACAATCTCAGATCTCTGCATTTTTCCAGAAACATGTCTCTAATAATTGGTGTTAATGCTTTTTTTTTTTTTTGACAGAGAGAGCCATTACGAATATTTTATGAGTCTTTGTTGAAACAAATACCAACAAGTGAAATGGCAGAATTTTGGTGAGGCTTCCTTCTTCTAGTAATACTTCTTGCATATTATTTAACTTTATAAAGAGCACAAGAAATGAAAATCTGCAGTTCTGGAATCTGGAACTTGTTTAACTGCTCAAGTCTTAGATCATGAAGGTCAGTTAGGTTTCTTTGCAGTAACTGTTTGAAGTTTTATATGTTGGAGAGTGTCCCTGACTCCCGACTAACAATGTAGGAAATTTTTATTTATTAGAAAGGGAATCCTTGAACCAGTTTCATGTTGCTCAGGTCAAGTCTAAGACATCTTCTTGATCCCTTGTGGAGTTAAGGTCATGTTGCACTCATCCTCTATCTTTTGATAGTGGAAGTTAGTTCTTTTATGTGATGATTTGTGGGTAACTTTAGATGGAAAATATTCTGGTTAACCAGGAACTAAAGTTATGGACTTTTCTGTTCATATATTCACTGGCTTTTAAGTGCCAAATTGACTTGTGATGCAGGTGAGAAGAGATAACAAAAGAATGGAAGTAGTCTATGTAAATCTCTCTCTCTTTTGTTATTAATAAGTACCAAGAAAAATAGTTTTGTTTCTTCTTTCCTGTATCACATACTCAAATGATGATAATTTTATTACTTGTTTTGATGTCCATGCTGAGAGCGGGAGATTTTGTGCAAAACTACAATACGAAGGTCTCTGGTGTCATGCCAATTTCAATCTAAAGATTTTGAGAGGGAAAAGTGGCACTTGGTTTAGGAAAATATGAAATATGTTTTTTTTTTTTCCCTCACTTGAAGTCTTTTAAAATAGATGAGAGAAAATTGATGGTTATCATTCTCTTTTGGTACTTAAGGCTGCTGAGATTTGAACTCTGGTCACTGGAACAAATAATCCAGCACTCTAACAAGAGACCAAGTGGCTGTTGGCGATGGTTATCATTCTCCATGGTACAAAAAGGGAATATTTTTTCTTTTGCGCTGATAGAAAGGCCAATTACTTCTCTGTCATGGAAAAGTGCTTCTTAGGTCCTTCTAGATTGGTCTACGGTTGTAGAGATGATTACACAAAGGTTTATGTTTATCTTCAACATATACACAAAGGTTGTTGGAGATGATTACACTGGTCATGACAGCATTGCTTGGGAGTATAATGATCAGCCTTAAGCCTTGCAGCTGCATTCTTCTCTTCTCTTTCGAAAAGAAGAATTGATACTAAAAGTAGCTTTCACATATTAAATCAAATCTGAAGCTGTTCTCTTCGATATAGGCATTCTCTTGCTATGCCATGCTTCTCTTTTGTTTGCTAACATCTAAACAAATGAATTATGCTATTGCACATTGCTTTACCTTATCCATTTTTGCATTAGCAGGGTTCTATTCTCTGACGTAAGATAGATTCAGTTAATTGTCATCATTATATTAGTCTTAGTAGAAAGAAATATAACATTGTTTAAGGTAGAGAGACATGGATTGGGTTTCAGGTCCAACATCCCAGAATCAGAGCTGTAACCACCTGAATGGATGAAATGTTCTGAAAATGGTCATATTATCTGTGAAAGGGTCAATCTATCCTTATCAAAATAGCCTTTTCTGACGTACCATGAATCCTCAAGGAAGAAAAAATTGCATTGCTTCAGGGACCAGAGAAGTAACGGCTCCAAGCTTTCTAGTAAAACAAAATTTACCATCATGAAGGTTCCTGCCATAGCAAGGCTTTCTGTAGGGCAGGCCTGTCGCCATGATGGTTGACTGTGCCTTTTGTAGCTATGATGCTATCTAAACAAAGATATGTCATTTAAGCCTAATTAATGAACAGTATTGGTGCCATCATTGACTTTTTATAGCTTAAACTTGTAGTATGTTTTCCTGAGCTTTGGTTTTGCCATGCAGTTGCTTCGTTCTTGTTAGCCTTAAAAATCAAAGGGATAGCCTATTTCCACATCAAAACTTGAGATCTATGTCTGTACATATTATCCTCACTTGTATTGGCAGCAGATGGGGAAAACATATTGTAACCTTTCCAAATTTTCCTCATATTTTCTGGGGCAAACTTTCCACTCAGATAATGTACATATTCTATGGTTGCTGCTTAAGACATGAATTATCAGAGGAATTTTACTTTTCCTTTTTTCCCCATTGATCCCTGACTCCAGCATAATATTTACATAGATCTAACATTTTCTCTAATAGCATCTTTTTAGTTTGTTGAAAATAAGGCCACAATTTTGTTGGATTACCATTTTTGTAAGGAACGACATAAAGTGAGCAATGTTTCTGCTCCTGCCCAACAATGTTACTGTAATTCTTTTTGTCTTGTAATTCCTTGGGTGTTAGATATGGAGAATGGATAAAAAAGGAGCTCATCTACCAGATACCAACTGGTTTGAGTTGACTTTAGTTCCCTGGATCCAATGTACAGTAGATGTAACATTTGCTATGTAGTTAGTTTGTGAAAGATACGTGCAAATATTGTGTTAGATTGCTCATCTGTAAACTGCATTCTTGGATTTTGATTGCCTTCGACATGAATACACCACCAGAAGATTGGTCCTACAATAGAAGGACTCTATTTACGCTAAAGGTATTTCCAAAATATACATTGGATGAAGCATCCATGAGTATTCAAAAGATGGGCCACTCCTTTTTGTTTTTCCAGCTTGTCAATAGAACTTGGTTAAATAGAAGAAGTAACATGGTTCAGTTTGCAGGATGATGGAACATGGCTTATTGTCCCTTGAAAAAGCCAGAAAAGCTTATGAAAAAAAGCAGAGGAGGCAGAAGGAACTTCGGACTGGCACTCCAATTAAATCTTCAAAACCAAGCAGCAAACCTGAGAGTTCACAGAAGCAGCAGCTGGCCTCAAACAATGGAGATGTAAAAGCCAAGAAAAGAATCAACAATGCTATTGATGATGATGATGACTTCATTTTAAGTCCCAAGAGAAGGAAAGGGTAAGAGAAAAGCTCCCCACTGTCTGTAGTGCTGTATTTCTAGGAATAACTTCATTTAAATTCCTTTTACAATTAACTGCAAAAATGCGGGCATTGTGATTTGTGAGAACACTAAAAATAATAGAGTAAGACATTCTTTATGTTTTCCGACTTATGGAAATAATAACCAAAGACAATTTACTGACATGTTTGATGCATGCTTTTGTGTTTCATGATGTGAAGATCTGATTTCATGTTGCTATCATATTGAAGGAAACAAAGGCATCAAATTATGCTTGCATTTCACTGTAATTAGTAATTTTTAAATGCATTGAGTTTGTTGTCATTTTAGGACACATTTTCATGGTTAGCTGTGAACCTGACTGAGAAACCTCCCCCTCCAGTGCTAGCCATTTAATCTGTCATAGGAAGAAAAACAAGCTTTATGGTGGCTCTGCCCCTTGTATGCATGTATGCATATAATCTTGGTCATTATTTTCTGTAGGACTATTAATGGAAGATGAGGGGATTGTCACATGACAAATCTGGACTTTCTATGGAAAAAGATCCTCTCCTCTGCTAAAATATAGTGAAAATGTCCACAACTTACATTATACTGCACACATTCTTTTAAACAAATCTAAGGTCAAAATTTGTCTGACATCATTTGACCTCTCTTAATTAATTTTGATCTATCTTTATATTTAATTTAAGGCCACTAAACTTCAACCATAGATTAATTTCAAAGTACATTTATTAACCTACGATGAAACAATGGGCATCTCCACTACTTTTTAGAAGAGGATCATTTCCCTTCTTTTATTCCCTCTGTGATGAATAAACCCATTTCTACACCTCTGAAAGATCAGGAACATATGCTACGATAATTTCTGTAGATTAATTGAGGTTTAGTTTCTGGAAAAGACTTCTGAAACATGGTTTGCTAGCTAAGCGATCATAGTGGATAAACTAGATGTGGTTCATTTAATTAGTTAGACATTTGAGTAGAATGAACAATATATAATAAATAGGACATGATCAATAATATCTTTGATAAGTGGAGGACAGATGACTAAACTAGACTAAATTTGACAATAGGATAAACTACTGAAAACTATTGGACTGCAAAGCCCCTATTCCATGCATTCTGGCAATGTGTTTGGTGAGGATCATCATCTCCACTAGCTCCATAATGCTGCTTGTGGAGTGAAGCTCCAAGTTTCGTAATGCCACACTGGCAGGTAAGACAGATCAGTCATGCTTCAAATTGAAGAGTGTACTGAGTACAACCACATGAATTGAACGTAAAAACTAGAGAAATTAAAATTATAAATGAAGAAACATCTTGATCAGGTCTCACGCTTGATATATATATGATGAATGTGTAGATTTTAAGCTGCATATTCTCCATGTATGGGCTGCGTGTATTCATAAACACCAGCCTGCACAAGTCTGCTTGCACATGAGCAGCATGTGAATTTACAGATTTGTTCGATATGAAGATTACAATGGAGAAATAGCTGATCTCGGTTTATTCAGGTCCAACTTACTATGCAGGAATTAATGAATAGAACAAACTTATAACTTGAATCATCTGTGAATGGGCAATGCATGTGACAAACAATCGGTGAAGCTGCTGATTCAGATCATGGACGTTGGTGTTCTCTCTACTGTCTCTATTGAAGTGCACCAGCCATTAAAGATTGCCAAAAGTAGTAAGCATCTTTTTACTGTTGGATGCAAAGCGATGAAACTTTTCTGTGCGTGATTTTTTTAGTAGGTATCAGGTTGGATGGTATATTGAGTGATCTGGTATACAACTACACCACGCCAGGTGAAAAGAAAATGACTGACTACATAGAAGGTGAACTAATTTATTAACTATGTTCGGATACTCCAAGATTTTGTTGAACAATTATGAACATAAATACGACTGAATACTTCATTTTTAGGATACAAGAATTTGTGGGATTTGACACTCCAGGCTGGTTGAGTGGCTGTCAATCCTGAATGAATATTAAAAATTATAGGGAAAATGTATTCCTTGGAAAAATATCTGAAGAAGAAAGGAAGCATCACACTAATGAAGGAACCATGAATTAATGTTCACCAATGGCAGACTGGGCAGTAGAATGCAGCCGATTAAAGAAATGGTTTTGGGGGTCCAAAACACCAACTCAAGGGACAACTAGGGCTGCAAATACCTGGTTTGTGGATAAGAAAACTTTTGTCGTCTATTCTGATTATGGCCCAAAAATTTATTAGAACTGCACAGGTAATGCTGTTATTTCCTTTGATCATTGACTATCCTTAGAGTTGATATAACTTGGCAACAATTTCGCCACACTCACTTCTTACCTCTTCAGTTTGATGCTGCCAATCTTTCTTTATCAAAAAGGAAAAAAAAATGGTTCTAGTTTTGGGGAATCCTGAATGAATGGTTAAAGTTAGCAGATTCATCAAACTTTTGTAGGTTTGCAATGTTTTCACGATGATCCTGCTGCTGTAAGAAAACAAAAGCTTCTCTCCTCCGATGACAAATATGAAGCAAACAAGATGCTTGGAACTGTCGACTTTTCTCAAATCATTACGCTGATTTTAACTTGTTCATTCAATTTCTTTTCTGCATAAATACTCGGAAAATTATAAAAAAAGGAAAAGAGAAAAGTAAAATACAATGGCGAAAAAAGAGAAACCCTTTGATTATCCAGTGTACAGACCATGACATGATTTTTTGTCTCATAGAAACAAGATAATAAAATGAGCAATGGACACAATCGGAATTGTGCTGTCCTTGTGGTAATTAAGGTTCTACAAAGTCTTCCTGTCTGAATCCGTAATCCATCAACATGATCATCACCCCACCAAAACATGAACATCCGGCCAGAACTGGTTTCTCCAGGCGCAGTTTTGTGCTAAAACAGTTAATGTACTGCAAAATTCAATCTTTCTTACTAAAAGATCAATGTCTGCGGTACATGCCTGTTGATCATTAATTAAATCTGCGTGTGATGGCAGCTGGTAAAAATAATTTCAAAGTTCACCTTCCTCGAACTCTCTCTTTTCAGTTTGGCAGTGGAAAGTTAAAAAATGAAAGCCCTGCTGACTTGATGGGTTTTCGTCGTTTTCACATTCATTACCAACTCAGCTTTCTCCTTTCAATTATTGATGTTTTGTTATGATCCAAGCTTGCCAATGCCTCAAATTTTTGGTGGCCCTATTTGTTCAAATTTCACACAGTTTTTACATCAGTTCATGGAAGATAGAACAGCTTATCAGTAACGTACCAAGAAAAACCCAAAAAAATTGAAGTCATAAATTCATGTTCATCTTAATTTACATATTAGCATTTTGCATATTTATACATACACAAGCTAGTACCTTAAAACTATATAATAATAACAAAATGAAACAACCAACTTTTTCCATATTAATTGTAATGGGTAGATATTAGGTGCGTCAATTTTTGTTCTTGGTGCACAGGGCAAGACTTTGCTGTACGCAACCACCGGTTTTAGATGCATTTGATCCGTATAACCAACCGTCCTAATGACAGGTGCGGTCTGATGAGTACTTTCTCTATAGGTGTTTAGGCCTCCAAATCTCTCTCGTGTGACTGCTCTCCGATCAAAATAAAAGTAAAATAGCTTAATTGGTCTAAAAATGCTAGTAACCATAGACTGAGAAGGTAGTCCATTATCACTTCAAAGACAATTATATCCCTGACATATTAAAATGGAGTAAATTTCACCAATAGTCATTGAACTTTGATCATAATCTCAACTACATCACTGAACTTTAATTTATCTCGTTAAAGTCATTAGAGTTTATTTAATATACCGGATTTAGTCACTTGACAGCTTCCATTCAAATTTATTGATAAAAAAAAATGATGTGTCCAACATATTTATGGGCACATCATCTGTCATATCTGCTAATTAAATACCTATAATCTGAAAAAAAAAAAAATCAGTTTGATTTTTTCTTTCTCTCTCTAACTTTCAACTCTCTCACTACCTCTCCCAAAAGAAAATCAAGCCACAACCATACAATCGGCGGCCATCATCCTCCACCACTCCGATCATTGTCCCTGATCTGCATTCATCTCCCAGGTATCTTCTTCAAAGTCGTCGATGTAGGGAGTTTTGGAACCTTTCTGGGAAGCTTGGAACAAACAAGGAGTCCTTGGACTCTAAAGATTGAGCGCACATTTTCTGGCAACAGTAATTTAAATTTCATACGAGATTTATTTAAAATTTGTTAATATTGATGGATAAGAAGATTTATAAAAAAAAAATTTAAAAAAAAAAGAGATTTTTAATAGATAAATTAATATGTTTATAAATAAAATTTTTATAGTATAAAAAAAATATAAGAGAATTATAGAATTTTATTAGATAAACATCGTATATAACTATTGAAAATTAACGTTTTTATTTGTATAAATATATATATATATATGAATGTTTACGAATGTGATTAAAAGAAATTGAAAAGGGTTCACATAAGAATGATGATTATTTTATTTAGGTGAACTAAAAAAAATTGAGATGATTTACATAGGTATAAATGTACATGGATATGTATTATTTTGATTAAGAATACTTATTGAATTAAAAGAAATTGAGAAATTTTATAAGTATTGATTATTGAGTACTGATTGATATAAATATACATTTGTAATTATTTACAATTTATGAATCTTTTTTTCATCCATAGATATAAGTTGGTTAGACTTGAATATTTATGAATTGAGATTTTTTGACCTAACATATTTAAAGGGTTAAAAAGCATAGGAATGTGCAAAAAGTATCTTTGACTATTAATTTGTAGAGATAGTAAGAATTGCAACAGGTTATGTGTATAATTTTTGCGAAGTCAAAATGCAATAGATTATATATGCAAGAATTTTGTATATTTTGTTTGATGTTTTGCAAATTAGGATACCGACATTCTATTTTATCTCAATGGCCCAATAATCACAAAATCAATCAAGAAGGTAATATCTGAGAATAACTTGAATTAAAATATACCATATTCTTTCGTTTCTCTCGTTTTTGGTTAGGATAGCGTTCTGAGAGCAACCATGAATTTTTTTTGGTTTCATATTTTCATCTGCTTAATGAACTCCTTGTTTGTACATGGCAAGGGATTACTCTTTCTTCGGTAGAAATCAACGCAGTAGGCAAATTTTCAAGATAAAACAAATTTGAAAATCTTATTTGTTATTTATTTTCACTCTGACTCAATTTTAAGGATTTGTCAATTTTTGCAAATTTAAGGATTTTCTTAGATGTTTTTGATGTTTTAACATTGAAACAGAGGCAAATTGATGGAGGAAAGGATTTCTAGGTTTGATTCAGTGTTGGTAGAGGCCAAATAGAGTTCGAGAGGAGGAGCAATTGGGTTTCGGATTAGATCTAGACTAATCTAACTCTTTTTGTAAGAATCCAACATGAAGAAGGGAAAGAATAGATTGAAAGGAGTTTGAAAATGAAATTTGGTGACGTATGGGCGTCGACGAGCGGCGGAAGACAACGAACAGGGTGTTGGAGGACGATGGCTGGTGACTGCATGCTGGTGGTCAGATTTTCTTTTAAGAAAGGGTAGTAAGAAAGTAGAAACTTAGAGAAAGAAAAAAATCAAAATGATTTTTTTTTTCAGATTATAAATATTTAATTAGTTAATATTTCAGATGATGTGGCAATAACTTGGTAGCCAGTTGTTTTTCTGTCAACTAATTTAAATGAAATCTGTTAAATGACTAAATCAAGTATATTTAATAAATTTTAGTGATTTTAATAAGATAAATTAAAAATCAATGATAAATATGAAATTATGGTCAAAGTTCATTGACCATAGGTGAAATTTACTCGGAAAAATGAATTAGCTTTTTACCCCCTCAAAGATAGCTTTATTTAGTCGAATTATGCGAGCATCTCCAAGCAAAATCTGGAAAAATCAGCACTAGGACATTAAACACTCGTAGGTGGTGTAGCTCGTTTCCTGGTAGATACGACATATAGGCCGGGTCGCATTTCCCTAATCCGGATACGTGGCCATTGATTCATATTCCAAATTAGTCGCATGGTGGATGCACCTTTTGTGGTACGGTGTTTGTGCACATTTTCAAAATTAAAAAATAATAAAATTTGAAGAAAAAATTTTGTAGACGCTTTTAAAATTTTTTTGAATATCTTTAAAATTAGAAACTAAAAAATTTAAAGTAATTCTTTTATGAACATTCTTTTTATCGATAAAATTAATAAATTTATTAATAGTTTTATATATATATATATTATAAGTGGATAGTTCAAAAAAATTTTAAATACGTCATTAATTAACTGAAAAAATATATAAACCTACGTGTAATATATATATAAGTGATCAATTGAGAGAAGAAATTAAAACTGATTATATGTTAATGTCTGGGTCCATGTTTATACCAATCAACAGCTCAGTTGTGTAGGAACATTTTCAACTTCTTTTGAAACTACACCGTTCGGAAAAACAAAAGAATGTAAGCTAGTTAGTCTCGGGCACTCACCACATTTATTACAAAAACCATACCATAAAATTTCTTGTACTACATATCTGGAAACCTGACCAAAAAAAAATCAACAAGGCTAAAAGAAAAAAAAAAACCATTCTTCTGGACCCTTCTATTCTATAATGCCACAGTGTGACTTTGAATGACAGGCTCAATGAAGGGAATCGATCCACTACAGGCTTTATGTCAGAATTTGACAATTTTAGGCTTTAAGTCGGTAGCAAAGAATTCTTTTGGGATTGGATCATGAAAATATCTGCGGGAGTTTGATGTCCCTTTCAACTTGATTTAATTTGTCTGATCGAAATTTGATGTCTGAACTTAATCTTCTTATTAATGAAAATCGGCACTTGGCATTTCACTTGTGGAGATGCATTCCATTCCAACTCAAAAATATAGCCATAAAACTCGACTTGAGAATTTAATGAGAGGAGAACATTTAGTTTATGCGTGGCAAAATTTAGTTGAAGCTTTAATTGGCTTGCATTTCCCTGTTATATATTATTCATTTTAATTATGATAGTGTAATATTTTACAATTATATCATCAAATATAATTGATATTTTAATTATAATAATATCTAAAATTATGATACAATTATGAGACTGTATGTAATATTTGTAATTAATAAATTTTCATGTATAAATATAGTAGATCTGTATAATATATTTCTCAAACTCATGAATATAAAATTATTTCTCATTTAAAATGGTATTAAAACTTAAATTTTATACTATATAATTACAAAATATTTCAAAATATTATATTAACAAATTAAAAGTATCATATAGATAAAAGTGTAGCAATGAAATTATTAAATTGT